CTATAGGATGCAGACAACAGGAAGAAAAAGACCTCCTGTCTTTTACATAGAACCCTTACCAACTAAGGGGTTTCTCCCAAAACTCCTGCAATGTCACAGTTGAAAGGAACCATAAGGATCCTTTAGCCTAAGTGTCTCATGATACAAATCAGAAAACACACCCTGAGAAAAGTGACCTACCCAAGGTCACAAATGAGTGGCAATTTTGAAAAGGACCAAGGTCTCCTGTCAGTTCAGGGTTCTTTCCTAAACTTTTCAAGAAGTTGTCTGAATGAAAGTCCAGGAGTTACACAAAATCAAACTGTACAGGCATACCTCAGAGACATTGTGGGTTCTGTTCCAGACCACTGCAATAAAGCGAATATCACGATAAAGCGAGTCACACAAATTTTTTGGTTTCCCAGTGCACATAAAAGTTATGTTTACACTATACTGTAGTCTATTAAGTGTGCAATAGCCTTAGGTCTAAAAATACAATGTGCATACCTTAATTTAAAATTACATTTTGTGCATACTTTAATTTAAAATTACTTTATTGCTAAAAAATTCTGCCAGAGACACAAAGTGAGCGCATGCTGTTAGAAAAATGACACTGATAGACTTGCTCAATGTAAATTGTCACAAACCTTCGATTTGTAAAAAACGCAATTATCTGCGAAGTGCAATACAGTGAAGTGCAATAAAACAAGGTATGCCTGTATATGTTTATTCCTATTGTTGTTAAGATATAATTCACAGACCCTAAAATTCTAAAAGTCTCTCTTTTAAAATGTACAATTCAATGGTTTTAGTATATTCACAAGGTTGTGCAACCATCAGCACAATAAATGTTAGAACATTATCATTACCCCAAAAAGAAATCCATATCCATTAGCAGTCACTTCCTATTTCCTACTCCCCCCAGCTCTAGAAACCACTAATCTAATTTCTGTCTCTATGGATTTGCCTATTCTGGATATTTCATGTAAGTGAGATCACAAAATCATATAATATGTGGCCTGTTGTGACTGGTTTCTTTCATTTAGCATGTTTTCAAGGTTCATCCATATTGTAGTATGTATCAGTACTTCATTCCTTTTCATGGATTAATGATTAATATTCCATTGCATGCATATAACCACATTTATTTTTCTAAGCATCAACTAATAAACATTTGGGTTGTTTCCACTTTTTGGCTTTATTCTAATTTCTATACATCCTCACCAACACTTCTTGTCTGTCTTTTTGATTATAACCTAGTGGGTAAGAAAGGATACCTCATTATGGTTTTGATTTGCATTTCCCTAATGGCGAATGATGTTGAACATCATTGTGTATTAGCCATGGATAAATATATATATACAAATCCTTTGACCATTTTTTAACTGGGTTGTCTTTTTATTGTTGAATTTTAAGAATTCTTTTTCTTTTTTTTTTTTTTTTGAGACAGTATCACTCTGTCGCCCCAGCTAGAGTGTAGTAGCATGACCACATAGCTCTCTGCAACCTCAAACTCCTGGGCTCAGGCTATCTTCCTGCCTCAGCCTCCCAAGTAGCTGGGACTACAGGCCCACACTACCACGCCTTGCTGATTTTTTCTATTTTTAGCAGACATGGGGGTCTTGTTCTTGCTCAGGCTGGTCTTGAACTCCTGATCTCAAGCGAGCCTCCCGCCTCGGCCTCCCAGAGTACTAGGATTATAGGCATAAGCTACTGCGCCCAGCCTAAGAATTCTTTATATATTCTCGATAGTAAAGTGTTGTCAGAAAAATGTTTGCAAATACTTTCTCCATTCTGTGGGTTGTCTATTCACTTTCTGGATATGTACAAAACTTTTTTATTTTGATGAAGTCCAGTTTATCTATTCTTTGTTTTGTTGCTTGTCCTTTTTAAAAATATAATCTGAGTTAAAATTCACATAATATAAAATTAACCATTTTAAAGTGAACAATTCAGTGGCATATAACATATTAACAATCTGATACAACTACCGCCTCTATCTAGTTCCAAAACATTTCTATCACTCCATAGTAAAATTTCCTATTCATTAATCAGTTTCTTCCCATTCCCTCCCTCCTCCCATGAATCCCTGCCAACCATCATCAGTCTGCATTCTGTCTCTATGAATTTATCTATTCTAAATATTTTATATAAATGGAATCATACAGAATGTGACCTTTTGTGTCTGGCTTCTTTCATTTAATATATTTTCTAGGCTCAGCCACATTGTAGTGTGTATCAGAACTTGATTCCATTTTATAACTAAATAAAATTCCATCACATATATGTACACCACAATTTAGTTTTCTATTCATCCATTAATAGATATTTGGGCTATTCCACCTTTTGGTTCTTGTGACTTGTGCTGTTATGAACATGCATGCATGTGTACTTGTTTGAGTATCTGTTTTCAATTCTTCGGATATATACTTAGGTGTTAGAATTGCTGGGTTATGTAGTAACTCTGTATTTAATTTTTGAGGAACCACCAGACTGTTTTCCACAGTAGCTGAACCATTTTACAATCTCACTAGCAATGTACAAAGGTTCTAATTTCTCCACACCCTCACCAACACTTGTTATTTTTCATTTTTAAAAAAACTATTATATTACAGCTATTCTAGCTAGTGTGAGGTATATTCTTAGCTTCAGTACCTTTGTTCTGCCTATCTTAGAAACAGTTTTCCTGCTGACCTCCAATTCCCCTTAGGTTTGATCACACATAGCACATAGGCTATATGAAATGGGTCTAGGAGAAAAATATCCCTGTCTTGGTATCAGTCTAACCTGTTCCACCAGGGCCGCTTTTGTTGGCTCCGATCTCCTGGACCCAATACCAGGGACCCAGAATTCTAGTTCCCATGCTAGCTGATTTTTCCAGATAAAATCCTTGCCTGCTTTAGCCTACAGTTTCTAATGTACCCTTTCAGAAAGGGTAAATCCTATTTTGATACAGAACACATATAGCCTGATAATATATCTTAGAAGAATAAGGAATACGTTCAGGCTGTTGAAGGCCTCCCCTTCCTGGGTGGTGACAGAGGAGAGAGAACCTTTGTGAAAGTAGCCTAGTACCTGGCACTAAACCACTTGTAGACGACCTGCTTCTGATTCGTACACAGCAAAGCAGCTCCCTCACTGCAATCTATTGAAAGGCAGCCCTCGACACAAGGGTTTGTAAAAAGAAAGAAAGGATTTAAAAAAAAAAAAAAGGAAAAAGAAAAAGAAGGCAAAAAACAACAAAAAAAGTAGCCTAGCTTTTACTGCCGGGTTTAATTCTTCTGGTATAAGTGTTCTTGTTGGTGTACACAAAGAAGTGTGTAAGCTGTTAATACGGAGAGTTTAATAAGGTTACTTCCTGTCTTTTAAGACCCAGCTCAAGAATTACCTTCTTCATAAAGCCTCCTAGACTCCAGTAGAAAATTCCTCTCTACTTTGTGGCTTTGGCTGAACTTGGGAAAGACTTACATAATAGCTATAACACTTACTATATTTGTTTACCATTTACTGTATTTGTTGACATGCTTATCTCCATTTAGATAGAAGTCCTTGAAAGCAGGGACCCTGCCATTTACACTGGTACATAGAAGGTTCTCAATTAACATAAGTGAATGAATGAAAGGCCATTGCTCAATACAGAGAGTGAGTGGTCCTCACATAAAAAGGAGAGCCATTCAATGTATCATTTATTCAAAATTTATCGATGAATGGTGAACAAAATGTGTCATAAAACTGACCCTCCCCCCAAAAAAAGCAACAAGGAGATGAGAATACTCTTTTCCCAGTTTGCTCTGTTTCACAATTTCAAGAGGTATAGACCTACCTATATCGAGGCATTAGCTTGAGCACTTGCCAAACCACATTTGTGGCAGGGAAATGTCACACTGCCTCTGACCTTGCCTGCCAGGTGCTTCCCTGGACTGGTTCCTGGCTCGATAACATTCTGCTGCTGGCAGCTTAAACTGATGCCAGCAGTTCCCAAAGGGTTGGAAGTCAGCCCTAAGAGCCTGGTTTGGTCAAGGATAATTTTCTAAGAAATCTCACTACTTTTTCTTTCCCTTTGGTTTACTTAGTATAAGAAAATGATGGTAGGGTTGGCCATTCCCACCATGCAGATCTGCAGGGACTGAACCACCTAATTCTCAAGTAGCTCCTGGCCAAAGAGACCAATCACCCTTTCTAAGGCCTGCGTGTGTCTCTATTGCTTCAGTGAAAGTCCACTTAGTCTTCCTAGGTCATTCAAGGACACAAAGATGTTCGGCAACCAGTTCATACACTCTGCATGTCTACAGTGAGAGCCGGTAACAGCTAAATGGCATTCAGCCCCTTGTGGGTTACTTGCTACCCCTGAGCATACTTTTCATATTTTAGCCTTTGTATTCTCGCTCAGGTTGTCCTCTTCTGCCACCTCCATGGAATAAAGCTCTACCCATTTTTAAAGGCAGAGGTCACATGCTACCTTGTCTATAGGATACCTTCTCTATCCTTCCTTTGGGCCTCAGAAGCACTGTGTATCTTTCTAGAACACTCATTTTATCCCTTTAGGGCAGAATATGAATCTTCCAAGCCTTCCTCTAGGATCTGGCACAAAGTAGATATTTCCTTAAAGTATTTAAAGAATGGATATTGGTATCTGGCTGGACTAAAATACAAGACTGTTTTGTATCAATACCAGCGGAAATAGGCCAGGCACAGTGGCTCATACCGGTAATCCCAATACTTTGGGAGGCTGAGGTGGGAGAATTGCTTGAGCCCAGGAGTTTGAGACCAGCATGGGCAACACAGCAAGACCCCATCTCTACAAAAAATAGAAAAATTAGCTGGGTATGGTGGCAAATGTGACGCCACTACAATCTAGTCTGGGTAATAGAATGAGACCCTGTCTCAGAAACAAAAAACAGTAGAAATAGTGGAGGTGCTGCCTTGCCCATGTGCCTAGGAGACCCAGGATCTCAGCCCAGCCACTACAACAGCTTTGGATTCCATGGCTCAGCAGTAGCCCTTCTCTACATAGGACTCACAGAGAGGAGGCCCGAAGAGTACTGTGTCCAGAGCCTTTAGCTGCAGCTTCTGCCGATGGCTCCGGTCTGTCATCTTCAGCACGGTCCCTGTCATGGTGGTGTTGGTTACAGCTAGCCTGTTGAGGCAAAGAGTAGCGGGTCAGTTCCCTGCCAGAAAAGCCAGGAAGCATCCCGGTAGGATTACCCACCTCCTCCAGGAACACTTCTAGCTCTTGGTGATTGCTCCCCTCTGCACTCTAGAACACAGAGGCTGCACCAATGGGATCTCAACAGGGAGTATGAGGGACAGATAACATTTGCCAAGAATATGCTCACCCTCTCTCCCCTTACCCACCATCTCCTAAGTACCCTATCCTCTAAGGGTTCCATCTGTGACCGTTCCCACACCCAAATGTAAATTTTCTGTTGTGCTTCTCCTTCCAGGGTTTATCCTCTATATATCTGTCTTTACCTCCCACCACTTGTAAATGCATTCACCTGTCCAGCCTAGGTCATGCCACATGACCTAGTAAGAATCTGGGGACTTGTGAATTATCCTAATCCTAAACCCACTGTCAGTATATATAAACCTGGTGATGACAAAAATTGAATTAGTCTTGTTAGCTTTTATTTAAGTCATTGGAATACAATTTACCCCCAATAAGATTACTGTAATTTTTTATGACCTTCAACCATACTGTCAGTGATAACTTTAATAACAGAGAGCCTGTAAACAAGAAAATGACCTAGGAAAAACTGGACTTTGTTTCTCTTCTGCTGGAACACAGTGGGTATAGAAAGGAGAAGGGTAAAAGATACAAAAGGTTGAAAACCACTGGTCTGGGTCCCACAGTGAGCAACCTCTGTAAGGTTAGTGCTCTTTTCTGATAATAGCTATATTTCCCCAGCTAGAAAAGAAGCTTCTGACATCATCATGTGTGATTTATACTTCTGTCTGAGCATGCAGGAGCAGCCACTTCCTTCTCTGGGCTTGGAAAGCAATCAAGGCCACCTACAAGAGAGGCAGCGAGGCACTGTGATGCAGGCTTGGGGGATGTCAGGAGATCTGGCTTCTCATTCCAGCTCAACCAGTGACTCACGTATCTGATCATAAGCTGCTTGGTCCCTCCCTCAGGACCTCGCTTTCCTTCTGTGTAAACTTAAGTAGAATCAGATGCTGTCTACAAGCATGGAAGTTCTTGAGGCTCCTCTTTAAAGCACTTCCACCAGGTGTGCTGGACTTTGACTGACCAAAATGAACATTGTCATCTTTTCTACAGTCTATTTCTCAAAGACACCTATGAACTGGAATGCTATCTACTTTTAAGCAATGAGAGAAATGAGAAAGGAGCTAACATTTACTAAGTTACTACTGTTTATCTGGTACTGTTCTGACACTTTACATACAATACCTCATTTAGTCCTCACAACAATGTTAAGAACTCAGTTCTATTACCAGCTCCACTTTATAGATAAGAAAACTGAGACTTAGAGTTGAGTAACTTGTCCAGAGTCACACACAAATAAGTGGCAAAGCCAGGTAATGAACTCACATCTGCTAGATTCTTCCCATTATTCCATGCTGGCTAGTGATGGGCCCAGAACTACCACCACTTCCGCCCCAAGCTTCCTGCTGTCACTAGGTGCCACAGTTTGGTGTCCTCCACTCCTCTGCCCAGCCTGGCTGGACCTGGTCTTGGTTCTAACTCTAGCTACAGAAGGGCTAAGTGAACCAGTGACCTGAGAACTGACTTCTTAACCTATGCTTTGCAGTTTTAATCCAAGCCACAGCCATTTCCCATGAGGGAATGGTCCAGGGATTCATAAGGCAATACTGCTGTTTCCATGGGTAGCAAGAAAGAACCCTATATCCTAAATCTTAATGGTCAATTATCTATTCAATTGTCTATCTCTTCCATTAGCACACTGACTGCCACACCAGGGAAAAAAAATTTTGCCCAGGGGCCACAATGTTTTATTACAAAAACAGAATAAAAACTTCGAAAACAAAACAATTCTTTCTAATTCAATGAAAATTTTGTTACTTTTTATTGTTTTGCTGTGCATGAGTTTTATGCAACTTGAAAAATACTTCATAAGGGTAAAGGTAAAGAGACGTGTGAGTTACATATGCTTCACAAGGCCCCGGACTTAAAACTAGTATGAGTTAAATACAGCTCACGTGGCAGTTAATGTGTTAAACGTGGAGTTCTTCAAAGCTCAGGAGTCATGTCCAATGTATCTCTTTGTCCTCAGGGCCCAGCAGAGAGCATAGCACATGGTAGGTGCTTGGTGAAGTTTTGTGAAATAGAACTAAACTGAATATTGCGAGGAAGCCTATCTTCAAGCACATGTCACAAGAGAAAGATGCAGTGAAAAAAGCAGGGCACTTAGAACAAGGCAGACCAAGGTTCAAATCCCAGCTCTGCCACCTACCAGCTTGGATAAATTATAAAATAGTTGAGAGTCAGTTTGCTCATGCAAAAGTTGGGATAATAATTCCTTCCTCCCAGAATTGTGAGAATCAACTGAAATAACAGGTAGGGAAACACTCTATAAACGGAGGTACAAACATTATTACTCTCTCCAGAGTAGGGAGAAGCTGTGAAGAAGAGGCTGCAGGCAACAGAGGAGGGAACAGCCAGCTCAGCTAGGCCTGGACAGCAGTGCCTGGTAGCTCTGTGGCTGGACACTGCAATGTGTGGGCATTCCAACAGCTTCACCTTCCCCTTTTCCCTTTGCTGAAGCTCATAACCAGATGCACCTACATAGTAAGATGACAGATTATACATAATCAGCACTTACCAGACAGTAAGCCCTTTGAGGGTAAGGGCAGGTTGTTGTCATCTTTATCCCCAGCACCCAGCACAAGTGCTTGGCACAGAGAAGGTACCCAGTAAATATTTGTTGAATGAATAAGTAAATGGATTAATGACTAAATGACATATGGCACTAGTTTGACATTACAAAAAGTCCAAGCAGTATTCCATTCCCTCCCCACTCCCAGCCCAAGCCCTAGCATATTGTGCCTGTAAAGGAGACAAAGAGTTATGATACCACAGCTGTTGGAGTCATCCCAGAGACAAGGCTGGAACAATGGCAGTCAGCAGCCCTCTGTACCATTTTCATTAGAGATAAACTGTATATGGATAACCCAGGGGAGGCTAAAAGAGCTCTGAGGCTCCTGAGTGATAGAAGAGGCAAATGCTAGGAGACAGCAAAAGAAAACAGAAACACCACAGGCTTTGAAGTCTACCACATCTACAGTCACATCACAGTTTTGCCCCTAACTAGCCACGTTTGTGATCTTGGAAAAGTTACTTAACCAGTTTCATCATCTATATACAACAATACCTACCTTATAGGACCAATGTAAGAATTAAATGAGATACTGTAGACAGTGTTAAGTAGAGTGCCTGGCATGTACTAAGCACTCAATAAATGGCAGCTATTAGTACTATTCCCAGGATTGACAGGACTATTAAATAAGAGAATGGAGGCCGGGCGTGTGATCCTAGCACTCTGGGAGGCTGAGGAGGGCAGATCGTTTGAGCTCAGGAGTTCGAGACCGGCCTGAGTAAGAGCGAGACCCCATCTCTCTTAAAAAAATAGAAAGAAATTAGCTGGAAAACTAAAAATATATATAAAAAAAATTAGCCAGGCATGGTGGCGCATGCCTGTAGTCCCAGCTACTCGGGAGGCTGAGGCAGAAGGATCGCTTGAGCCCAGGAGTTTGAGGTTGCTGTGAGCTAGGCTGACACCACAGCACTCTAGCCTGGGCAACAGAGTGAGACTCTGTCTCAAAAAAAAAAATAATAAGACAATGGATGCAAAGTGCCCATCATGCTTTATAGCAAGCACACAATAGATGTGAGAAGAGGAGAGATCTATAGACTTTGCCCTGAAAAGGGTGGAACCTACTTAACTGGCCAGAGCAACCTGAAGGCAGGCCCACCCCAGCCCATTCCCTGCATCCCCAAGTGAGAAAAACCCAGTCACCTCCTGACCTTGGCATGGCATGGCCACTGAGCTGCAGCTTCCGGAAGGTCTCTTCATACTGAGGCAGCTCCACATATGTGATCAGCCACTGCACCACCTCATCCACGGTCCAGTTGTATACTGTGGAAAGAGACAAGCAAAGCCATGACTACAGAATGTCAAGCACTGCTTGCATTTATTGTCATGGTCATACTGACCTTAACATTCACCACATTTGTGTGTTTAACATCTCGCTCTCCCATAAAATCCTAAGTATGAAAGGAGTACATACTGTATGAGTCTATTTATATGAAACCCTAGAAAAGACAAATAAATAGAGACAGAAAGCAGATGAATGGTCGGCTGAAGCCAAGAGAGGGGCTGGGGACTGACTGGAAAGGAGCACAAAGCAATGTTTTAAGATAATGGAAATATTCTATATCTTGAATGTGGTGGTGGTTACACAAGGGATAACATCTGTCAAAATTGATCAATCTGTACATTTAAAATAGGTGTATATTCCTGTATATAAATTATACATTAGTAAAGTTGATTTTAGAATATTTTTAAACTATAAATGTGACCAGGGTTGAGAATCAACCATCTATCCATCGATCCATCCAACTATCCAATTAAGCATCCATAAGGGGCCCACTTAGTACCATACTTGCAGAAACTCAGTTCCCAATCCAGTGAAAGAGATCAAAAAATAAATAACATCAGTGAAGCATGGACTGTGATAAAGAAATATACATACAGCACAGAGAAGAAAGGGAATAACTGCCTAGGGGCTCAGGAGTAACCTCAGAGAAGAAGATAAATTGCAACATAAAGGATTAGTAGAAGCTCATCTGAAATATTTCAAGGATGTGGGTGAGGACGCCACTTGATACAGAATGGAGGAAGGTGCAAAGAAAAGATGTGAAATTTGATGTGTCTAGAATATGGAATACTTGGAAGGTAGTTGCAAAAGAAAGTTGAAGCCATGTCATGAAGGGTCTTGACTGCCACGCTAAGATCGTTACTAGTATTGTCCTGGGATAAGCCTACCTCGGGTTGTTCTGGCCAGTTAGGTGAGACCCAGTCCTTTTCAGGGCAGAATTATAAACCTCTCCTCTTCTCACATCTACTATGTGCTTGGTATAGAGCACATTGGGCACTCTGCATCCATTCTCTTATTTAATATTGCTACTCAGAACTGCACTGTCCAATCAGTAGTAGCCAGTAGCCTCAAATGGCTATTTATAATTTAAATGTACTAAAATTAAATACTCAGTTCTTCAGTGGCACTAGCCACACTTTAAGTGTCCAACTGCTAGATGTGGCTAGTGGCTACCATGTTGGGCAACACAAATTATAGAACATTTCCATCATTGTACGAAGATCTGTTGGACAGCACTGGTCAAGATACTTTATTATAAAAATGTTGATCTTATATTATATTTTGAAGATAACCTAACAGTAAAAAACAAAAGTACATTCTGGATAATCTAGATATGTAAGAGTATAGTTTCTCAACTTCAGTCGCCATGTAGCATTTGTGTTTATAACTGTGTTAATGTAAAACAGTTATAATAGAAGATACAGTTGACTCCTGAACAACAGGGTTTGAACTGTACAGGTCCACTTACACCTGGATTTTTTGCAGCAAAAGTTACACTGAGTGTACCTACCTCTTCTGCCTCCCATTCCACCTCCTCTACCTCTCCCACCTCTGTCAACCCTGAGACAGCAAGACCAACTCCTTCTCTTCCGCCTCCTCCTCAGCCTATTCAATGTGAAGATGATGAGGATGAAGACTTTTATGATGATCCGTTTCCCCTTAATGAACAGCAAAATATATTTTCTCTTCCTTATGATCTTCTTAATAACATTTTCTTTTCTCCAGCTTATTTTATTTCAAGAATACAATATACAATGAATATAACATATAAAATATGTGTTAATTGACTGATATTGGTAATACTTCTGGTCAACAATAGGTTATTAGTAGTTAAGTTCTGGGGAAGTCAAAAGTTATACGTAGATTTTCGACTGTATGAAGGGTGAGCATCCCTAACCTCCATGTTGCTCAAGGGTCAACTGTACTTGCCTGGAATTGTAGGACATAATGTGCTTCATAACAATAATATATGTTGAATTTAGATATTTTAATCCAAAGGAACCCAGACAGCAAAACTGCTGTTTTTATACAAAATATATAAATTCATAATATATCTCAAATTTAGATATTTTAATACAAAAGAACCCAGAGATCAAAACAGCTATTTTTATACAAAATATGTAATATTTTGTTTGTAATACATAATTTACACTTGCAATTCAAATTTTCAAGACAAATACTACCCACTAAAAAACGTAAACCACCCACTAAAAGATATAAACTAATTGGTGCATCCCCAGAGAATCTAACATAACATCGCATGATCACCTATTATGATCTACCTGATAGCACTATAATGGACATGGGTCATTTTTGCCACCACGCACCCACTTCCCCTTTTGATAACAACAATACTCGGAATTTGTATTAGTGGAACCAGCCCTCCCTTGCTTTCAGCTGATATGCTCCAGGTAAAGTTAAATCAACCTCTAGGAGTAAAGAGCTAAGTCAACCAGTATATTCCATCCTCCTGCCCATAGTGTTTGGTTCAGGGATGAGCACATGACTCAAGATGAGGCTGAAGAAACTGAATTTTTGTTTGACCCCTAAGGGATATGCTTGCCCTTCTACTACACTGGTGTCTGGGATAAAATGACCCTGAACTATAGTAGTAATAGTACTAATACTAATAACAGAAGCCATCACTTACGTAGTACTTACTATACAACAGTACTGTTCTAAGCACTTCATATATATTAACTCACTAATCTTCACCACCACCATGTGAAGAGATATCCCATTTTACCCCCATGTTAAAGATGAAGAAACTGAAACACAGAAAGATTATATAACTTTTCCAAAGTTACTCAGCTAGGAATTGGTAAAGCCAAGATTTGGTCTCAGGCAGTCTAGTTCCAAAACCCCTGTTCTAAGCACATATTTGTATCTCCTCCCTGACACTGGAAGCCTTCATGCAGAGGCAAAGCTGAGTGACGATCCAGATGACATCATTTAAGCCCTGCGTAAGATCATGCCTGCACACAGCCCTATTCATATATATTTCAGTTTTATGCAACAAGTAAATTTCCCCTTATTGCTTGAGATATCAGATTGAGAGGATTTTTTGTCATAACGGGAACCAAGTCTAACTGAAACAATTACTGAGTGATCATTTGCAACACGGCAAATCACATGATCACCATACTTGGAGCACTATAGCTACTCATTCCTCAATATCATAATGTTGTGATTTTTTTAAAAGAATCATCATAAAAATTAGCCTTTTAAAATAATTTTTATATTTGTATGGTATTTAAACACAGCAAATTTATCTCTATAATTTGTTAAAAGTCAATTATGAAGGAATAGAAATGGACTTAATATACAAGGAACATGTTCAAGCCAAGTGAAGGTCAAATGAGATCATGATGTGTTATGCAAATCAAAGTTTCATAGTAGCTTAAATAGAGAAAAATGGTGGGAGGAATGAGTCATCAGATGGTACTCAGTAATACAGACATGCTGAATTTAAAAGAGCCAGGGAGCAACTAAGTTTCAGCAAAAAAGTATCATTTTATTAGAACTGAAGCTTATTTTTATGTAAAGTATAAATCTATTTTTTGTTCTTATTTCTATGCAAATTTTATACAGAGACCTAACCCTCATTTTATGTTTGTACATATTTAAATAACATAATAAAAATAATTTAAGTCATCATTGCATGTCCAAGATAAATTATTTCCCTTAAAAGGAATTTGTACATTCCTCAAGTTTGAAAACCACTGCTTTGAGAAGCAAAAAGCCAAAAAAATTTTGAAGCAAAATGATATTAATATGATGAGGTTCCTCACCCTCCTCTCTTAAGATCCACATCTTTACCAAAAATTGACTTTCATCAGAATGCTATCTAATTTCCCTTTAATAGTCAAGAAACACTGAAGGCATGGAACAGCTCCTGTTCATTTTTGCTCATCCACTGTCTCTAAAATAAAAGCTTCATATATAGTGGTATCATTAAGAATAACTACCCGAAATGAGAAATTCCAGAAATGTTCTCATTGTGGGCTTCCAAACAACAATACCAAACTTCCTTAGAAACATATCAGCTCATGTGGTGGATGGGTAATTTCTGAAATGCTTGTCAAAAAACAGGCATTGCTCTGGTAGGCATAAACTCACATCTCGGGTTGTTTCTATCACTCTCGTATAAGCTAGAGAAATTGAAAAATTGGGACCTGTCTCTTCATTCCCCTACTTCCCCCACCGTGGAGTCCACCATATGATGCAAAGCAGACAATCAGGAATGAAACAAAGTTGAAGGCAAAAATGCTTCAATCTCTTGATGTCCTCAAGAAGATGCTGAAGCTTAGGAAGAAAGCTCTGAAGCTGAGTGGCTTTGGAGGTAGGTTAGGCTTTTTGCAGATGCACCAGAAGTAAGAAGGGAAAGGTGTCAGGGAGAAGAAATGAGGCAGGTATGGTATGCTCAGAGACCGCATCCTAAACGACAAGATACCAGAGGCTTAGGTGAACGGTGCTTAGTCACTGTTTGGTGAAATTTCTATAGTAATTCCCCGACTAGAATATGCTGGACGGAAAAGAGAAATTAATTTCCAAGAGATAGCTTTGGGAAAAGAAAGATGACAGAGCTGGGGTTAAAGAAGTGTTGAGGAAAGTAGAATGCACTAGCTATTATTCTTGAAAATGAATAGATATCCTCACACATTACAGATGTGATAATTTACTATGGTCTGGAGTGTGCAGGTAATGAAGGCACAGGAGAGTGACACACAGATATGACGCAGACAGACAAGTGCTAGCCTGTAAAGTACAGAAAACAACACACTCCTGCCACTGCTGCCAAGGGAGCTTAGCCTCATCCAACACAAAGGGGCCTTTCTGCTTGGCATGTAGAATGGAAAAAAGGCCACTTTTTTTATTGCTAGAAGGGCCTGAGGCCAGCAGTGCTTCAAGGGCTTTTTGTCTATTGGGAGGATGCCTTGATACAAGCCTGGGCAAAGACTCTTGGCAGGCAGAATCT